GGGATGTGAAGACATCGCACGCGCCAAATGATGATGGGTGCCGAAGGCCGAAGGCAGATTGTAGGAGGTTCCGAGGGCATGGCTCAAAAGGGTGCCGAGAGCACTCGTGAAGGAGAACGACATAGTGTTTTGTGTCGCTTCCCACAGACGGCGCCAATCTGTTTGCGCTAAAACTGGATAGGTAGTATTTAGGCCAACTTAAAGATGAGGTCCCTTAGTATGTAGGAGCATTCGGTAAATAAATAGGCATGCATACAGAAGACAAATGTACGTGGTTCACCCGAATGATGGGCTACGTCCACAGAGAAGTATGTTCTCATTATAATAATGTGTGTATACATTGTACATAGGGTTAGACCCAAGGGGAAGAGGAAGAATACCGAAGGCCGAAGGCTGAGGGCAGATGCCGAAGGCTGAGGGCAAATGCCGAAGGTAGATGATCTGGCTGATGGCCGAAGATTCGTGGGCTTGTAAATGGGCTCATGGGTAAGCCCATGAGGCCCTAATAGCCTACCCAACCTCTTTCTTCCTCTCTCTCCTTTGAAGGAGAGGGGTCTTCTTTTATAGGGAAGGGAGAGTCCCCTTCTCTTGTGTTTTGTCGATGTGGGACTCCCTTCCCTTTGCTTGGATTAGCTTGGAAATGCTTGGAAATGTTTGGCCAGATATTGTACAAACATATATGATAATTCTTCCCCAGGTCTTGTCTCTAGTTGGATATAACTTGCTTTCTATTTTTGCACAGATAATCCCTGATGTCCCAACAGTAGGAGGACGCTTGATGCTTGTGGACATGGCTGGCTCTGAAAATATTGAGCAAGCTGGCCAAATTGGATTTGAGGCAAAAATGCAGGTAATGTCTTGGTGGTGCTTAATTTATGCTGATAATGTATGTAGCACTTTCATTGTCATTGTAACAAATGTTTAAATTATGGTTATATTGAATTCACGGACTGCAAAGATCAACCAAGGAAACATAGCTCCCAAAAGAGTGGTTGAATCCATTGCCAATGGTGATTCTCATGTGCATCCCTTTAAAGCGTGGCAATTGCGGTGGAGAAGGGCATAATCGAATTAGTTGCAAGGTATGTGTCATTATCCAAAATTGCTTTACATTTTAATATATTTCATTTGGTTTCTGACTTGATGACTTTGCTTATTAGGAATCTAGAAATCCCAACATAAAGCCTACTAGGAAGAGAAAAGTTGCCAAGGAAAAACTTCCAGTAAGTGCCACGGTTTCAACTATGTTTTCACCATTCAAATTTTCATATCATGCCTACCTAATTATTATTTGTTTTAGGTAAGAAGGAGAGATGGTGGAGACCAAAGTAGCGGACAACAAAGTATGCAACTAAGGCAAAGGAGACAAACTAGTGCTTCCCAAGGGCCTTCTCAATCCCAGGCATTTGAAGTATTTGAGGCTTCTCAATCCCAACCATCTCAAGCAGCCCAACCATCTCAATCCCAACCATCTCAAGCAGCTGATGCTTCTCAATCCCAATCATCTCAAGTAGCTCAGGCTTCTCAAGCATGTGATTCATCTCAATCTGCCAAACTATCTCGAGTACAACAATGTAGGAGGAGGATGAAAGATCAACAGAGGAGCCATTTTGTCAAAGATCCTTTTTTTCATCCTTAGATGTGATGATGTTGAACTTTTGCAACCTGTTTTTGAATTAGGATAAACTCTTTTTGAATGGTTTTAATGTTGTGGAATTATAGATTCTGCAATTAGTTAGTTTTATAAGACTTTAATGGTTTAATTATGGTTGCAATTGGGTTGTTGGTTTGTGGGATTATTGATGTCTGTGATGGTTGGTTTTATTAGACTTTCATGTCCGTCAAGGTTTTGAGTCAGGTACATGGCATGTAATTGACCATTTGATATGTAATGTGATGGTTGAAACTTGTTTTGGTGTTGTGCTTATATTGATCAGCTATTGAGATGTAGCCATTTCATATGGCATTGAACAAAAAATGCTTATGAGTAACTTGTTTTTGTAACCTGTTTCTGGTATCCGATGAACAAGATATGCTTATGAGTAACTTGTTTTTGTAGCCTGTTTTTGGTATCCAATGAACAAGATATTGTTGCAACCTATTTTTGGTATGATGCTTATCAGTATGTCACCATTTGTAACCTTTAAACAAGTTACCATTCATATCATAGATCAAAGAAAACTCTGAACTCTAAACAAATTACAATGAACAAACTTAACTACTGCCACATTACCTTACATTACATTAGCATTACATTACATTACACCAAATTACATTACATTAAACCAACTTAACTACTGCCAAAGTGCCTTACATTACATTACCATTTGTTCTCAAATTACATTGCCCACTGAACTACTGCTTCTCAATCACATTACACCCACAAAATTACAAAACATATTACTCTTAATTCCTCCTACTTCCTCCTAATTCATCTTCATGGCAAACACCACCAACCAGGAAAGCAACATAGCAGCCCACAATATTTTTGACTTTGCTCGAATCTTTGCATTTTCCTTTTCCACCCTATCAATCTTCCTCAGCAAACCAGGTATCAAAGACTTTGAACGCTCACACATTTCTTCATCAAACCACTGAAAAAACATACATCCTTTTTCTCCACTTTCCTGTATCAACCAAGAACAATGACTCAAAATTTCCTTTTGATCAATGACTGAAAATTTCATCAATAAGAACTCTATCAATTTGTGATGCCCAAAACAATGACTGAAAATTTGATCTTAAACATGCTTACCTTTGACTTTGGGCAGACTAGAAATCTCCGCCATGGGTTTGAACTGGTCCAAGAAGTCTGCATCCGTGCTAACTTCCCACAATGACACCATTGAGCATGCCTTGCTTCTCCTTGCTTCTCTCCTGTTTCCATAAACTCAAATCTTCTACTCCAGAATCTCCCAATTTCAAACTCCACCTCAGAGTTTTATGAACCCCTAATTTCTTCTCCAGATTCTCGAAGCCCACCTCAGATTTTCACAAACCCTAAGCCCTCTTCTCCAATTTCCCCTTCTCACCCAATTTCCCCCTCTCTTTTGGAAGTGAAACCCTTATTTGCAGAGGTTAAAGATTAAAACGAAGTGGGGCTCAATGCTCGTAACGGAACGTCAAAAATACTGACGGAACGGGTAAATTGAGACTGTTTTTTCAAAGGTTGGGGGGTATTTTGAGATGATTGCAAACACAAGTGGTAATATGAGACAAGTTTAAAAGCACAGGGGGCATGTACATAAATAAGCCTTTATTTATTTGTAATAAGTGGATCAACTTATTATGAGTTTATTGCATGTTTGTAGTCTCTACTTGTATTTTCTACTTGTGACAGTTAAAAGGTTGTAGTTGCAATTGTAGTTTGCTGCCTGAGGTATATGTCTGGTTTTCCAGGCTCGTGATTTTTTTGCAGAAATTTCTTGGGCAGTATGTGGCTTTGAGTAAAGGTACATTTTGTGCGTTTGCTATCTTCGATGGACTACTCCTATTATTTGAATTAACCCTTGTGGTTCATACACTTTCATATTTTTATTAGCTGCATTTGTACATTTGTACCAGTAACCTTGAAACCTAAATTATAAATGCAATTTATTCCCTCTGCAATTTCTCAAAAAATAAAAATAAAAAAAAGGGCCAAATAACACTAGGGATGGGCGCAGTTCGATTTGTTTTGGTTTTCATCTAACATCGAAAATCGAAACTGGTACTATTCAATCGGTGCAATTCGGTTCGATTTTGGTGAAAATTTTTTATGAAATCGGTGCGGTTTTTGATTTTTTCTAATTTTGGACAGGATGTTTTTATTATTATATATTTTTCAAATTATTTTTTTATACAAATTCTAACTAAATTTTTATTTTTTGGACTTAAAAATTCACAAATGACCCAATTTCATGCAAAAGAGAATTTGGGCCTAGATATTAGTTATGGGATTAGAAATTAAAAAAACTAAAAAAAATACACAGCGGAGTCTAGTTCAGTTTTGTAAGATGTGAAACTAGCACCGAAATCAGTTTGAACTAATCTGATCCAATTCGGTGCCAGTTTCTCAACTTTTTAAGTCAACACGGTTTTTTTCTTTCTGGTTTAGGTGTTCTGGTTTTCCGTCTTAATGCCCATCCCTAAATAACACGGCCAAACCACAATTTTTTTTTTCAAAGAAACGACCTTTGGGGTGGGGTGTTGCCATTAAAAAAACCTGACGGGTGCATTGTAATTTGTAATTAACTCAAAACACTTGCAATTTGCATAGCGTCGTTGAACAGCAGAGCAGAGCAGAGCGGCAAGCCGGGGGCAGACGATGAAATTGTTTGACGCACACTGTCACTTGCAAGACCCAAGAATCTTTGACAAGGCACCCCAATTGATTGCAGCAGCCGTTGATTCTGGCGTTGTTCGTTTTGCTTGTAATGGAGTCTCTGAGGTACCGCTTTCCATATCATACGTTTTCTCTCTCCTTATTGTAATGCCTATGGCTGCTCAATCTTCTTCAACATTGTCATTTTAATAATTCCATTCAGAAAGATTGGCATTTGGTCAAACAGATTAGTGAGTCGTATCCTTGCGTAATTCCCTGCTTCGGTCTCCATCCCTGGTAAACCTCTCTCTGGGTCGAGATTGAAGTTTTCGATTGTATTTTCCCCAACCCTTTCTTCTCTTGTATTGTATGTCAGTAGGTATGTTGCAGAGAGGACACCCAATTGGCTCAACACTTTAAAACAATTCTTCGAGGCTACTCCCTCTGCTGCAGTTGGAGAGGTTGGTAGCTGCGGTCCATTGGCTTAATGAAACTTTATGTTTATATCTTCTGTTTTCCTGTATGCAAATGTACGATTCGGTTTTTAATCAATGACTTCAAGTGAGGAGCTCCGTGTTGATAATTCCTTAGACCATCTCCAATCCTTTCCCTCCATAGTTTCCCTTCGAAATCTAACTTGATATGATTTGAGAAACCCCAAACATAAATTGATGGGTGAAAAGTTCAGGGAATTCTCAAATTTGGGAAAGGCTTAGGGATGGGTGGGAGCTCGATTTCATGTCATTTTCCCTGATTAGGAAGGATTGGAGTAGCTCTAAGGTCAGTTTCCTCTCTTCCTTCTAAATGAAATAATTAATTTCCATCAAATGCCCTTGCTCTCATTATATGAGTTCTTCCTACCCAAACTAAGACAAACATTTTGTCTGTTACTTGGCTCTTGGGGTTGAACTTCTGCTTTACCCATTGGAGGGGCTTTCCTTGCTATCTTATAAGAACATTTATGAGCAAAGCTTTGGATGTGTCATCCTTATATCACCACTGCTATCACTTTCTCTGATTTCTGGTTCTTTATGAGTCAGCCAAATCAATTGTTTAGCTCACATGAAGTTCCTACTGGAATAATCCTATTCTTTGCAAATATGAAATTTATAGGTTCCAAAACTTCTATACACATGATTAAAGGCACCTCTAAATTCTAAGTTCTAATACAGTCATGTAAACCTTTCAGATTGGCTTGGACAAAGGTTCACAAGGGAAGAAGGTTGATTTCACAGATCAGGTTCTTATCATTCCAACTCATTCCTCCTAAATATTCATATAAGTTGGTCATCTCTTGTTGTTATCATCTATTGCTTCCTCTAGTTGTTATTGGTGGGGAGCGCAGATTTGTGATTGTAAGTTTTCATGATAATCAAAAACTTCATTTTAAGACAACCTTTCATTCTTTTGTTTTATCTAGAGGACATTATTTCTCAAATTATATCTCATAAGAGTCTTACTGGAAGCTTATTCCATGCAAGCATCTGGAGAAAAGAGCATTAAAGTCTTAAAGAGATGAAAAAAGAGAGAACTTAGTGGATGCTCCAGAGAGAGAGAGAGAGAGAGAGAGATTTCATGATGCAGGGCAGCGGCTGTCCAGCGACCCAAACAACCCAAAGTACAGAGAGAATAGAAGGATAAAGCTGTAGAATTGAAGTTGGAACGAAGAATTTTGAGTTCTAGGGCTAAATTCTAAAACTCTTTAGACTAAAGTCCGAAATTATATTGATTGAAAACTGAATACAAGAGTCTGTTAATAGCCTATTTATATTAGAATACACCAGCGTAGAATTCCTATTCCTAGTTTACTAAGAAAACCTAATTGATAAAGGAAATTAAAAACAAAACAAGAAACTAAACCAAATCCTAAAGAAGATAGGAAAACAATTAATTTAATAATTTAATATATCTAAAACTTGGCCCTTTTTGACTAGGATTGATGAGAATTTCTGCACAGGAAATCTATTAAATTCCAGTTATGTCCCTGCACAAAAAGATGCTTGTAACTCTAAAATGAATAACTCAATCTAAAAGTTATTTTAGCCCTAGACTCCTAACCTAAGAGAAAATATCGGCTAGCACCATTCTTTGTTTGCATCATACATATGTAGCCATACATAATCACATGCATGAAAGGTAAACATGTCTTTGTGCACACAACCGACGTATGTTCTCATGCAGAAATTTTTCCACAACCTTTTATTGGCTCGTTGGTTCTGGTATTCTTCAATATTCTTTGCCTAGTTGAATAAACTTGGGGCATTTTTCTGCACAGTTCTTTCTTGGAACACGGACACTACGTTTTAGACTCAATGGTTGGGATGTTAATGGAATGTTTATGGTAATTTCCACTGAACCAAAGAGTATGTACACGTGATCTCACTTTGTATCCTCCTTGTTAAAGTTGGAAGAGGTCTTATTAGGCAGAATGAATGTAGGTTGGGGACTGTAACTAACTCTTTTGACAACAAAATATAGAAGAGGACGGAAGGCAATTTTATTTTACTTTTTCCTTTTATCTTTCAGTCAGGCAAGTCTCCATGTTGTTATTTCTGTAAACATTTGAATTGCCATGATATGTAGCTGCTTGCACATGCTCTTGGTATCTTAATGGGCTGATTAGAATTGTTTTTTTTTAATCCCATTTATTATCAATTGATTCCTTAATCCTGTTAATGTGTAAGGTTTCTGCTGCAGGTTAATGTATTCAGGCAACAACTTGAACTTGCAAAAGAGTTAAAAAGGCCAGCATCCATCCACTGTGTTCGTGCTTTTGGTGACCTTCTTCAGATAATGAAGTATGCACACACACACACACACATATATATATGTATATCTAATTTAAGTTTTGCTTTTTATATGTTTGTTAATTGTTTAGTTTGTGAAGATTATGAATTTTTAGTACATGGACATGATTATAACAACCAAGAACAGAACAAGCTATTGTTGATGGGAACCAAATTGAAAGTGGGCTTTTCACTGTAGTGCTGCTCGGTTACTATATTGCCTGAGTTTGTTTTTCCAATTTCTCATGTTTAAACTTAGAAGTTTGTTTCATGCATCCATCCGGCCAGCACCCCATCTGAAGCGGTTTCTTGGAATTGCAACCACTGGATTTCATGGCAGCTCATCTCTGTAATCCTTCGTACAGAGCCTCTACTTATCAGAAAAATGTTGTGCTCCGTGTTCTTTGACTTACTGCATAATGATTGCTATTTCATGGCCCGTAGGTTGATTATGAGAAGGCATAATTTGCTTTTCCACGGCGTAGATGCTGCCTTCTTCTCTATTAATGTTAATTATAGCTTGTAAAATTGAGGTTTATCGAAACTACTAATCTATCATGGCCTCATATTATATAGTTTTATTTAATGCTTTCTAAAGATGAATAATTATCTTGTCAGATCTTTGGGTCCTTTTCCTGCTGGCGTCATTCTTCATTCTTACCTAGGTTCTGCTGAGATGGTTCCTGAATTTGCCAATCTTGGTGCTTACTTTTCTTTCTCTGGATTTCTTATGTCCATGAAAGTACACAAGGCAAAGAGGATGCTGAAGATGGTTAGTTCCATATTTAGGTTGTTGTGTATGTACACCATTAGACATTATTGGATCCAATTTTGTTTTTAATTTGTTCTTTCTAGGTGCCTTCTGAAAGAATTTTACTGGAGACAGATGCACCTGATGCATTACCCAAGTCTGAGTTAGATTCTGCGCATCTGGTTGAAGGAGCTTCCCTCCCTGAAGAGCTTCAGTCAATAGAAATTTCCTCAGCTCCATTTGCTGGTGCAAGAGATGTATTAACATTTCCAAAAGAAGCACTAAATCACCCACAAAATATTCACAAGGTAGTGTTTTACAGTACACATCTTGGTCATTAGTTGTTTTAAAATATATTAATTGTTGTTGTCATTGTAGTTTCTACGGCCACTGTTTAAGCCCTAATTGATGTAGGATATGGATGAATTATAGATTTAGGTAGTTTAGCGGAAGCGAAAACAACGGAAAACAGAATTAAATGAACAAGGATAGGTCTGGAATCACTCCAGGGGCTTCCCACCAAGAATTCTCCAATCTCTGGAAAATAAATTTTTATTTTTTTGGGGGCCGGGGGGGGACCCTACAGTGAAAAGGAATTTACTAGGAAAGAAATCCTAATCCAAATAAAATTAAAAACTTAGATTTCCTACTGAAATCTGGAAAACTAAAATCCTACTAGAATCTGAAAAACTTAGAGAACCTAGGAAACTAACAACAAAAAAGGAGAGCTGCTCCAGAATTGCAGGATTTGAAGATTGAATTAAATGATTTCCTCTTCCATCTCTTTCGTTTGTAAATCGTAATGGGTTTGACAAAGATGTCCTCATCTATTTTCCAGGGCTGAGAAGAACTCGACTCGGGCGAGTTAAAATTGTAGTAACATTCAGGAAAGCCGGAATTAGTGTGCAAACATGTAGACTCATCTTCTGCCTTCTGAATCCGCTAGAATCAATGAGTTGTGGGAATTCCAACTGATCAGTTACACCTTTCTCTCCTTTGCTGAATCGTGATTTGGTCAACGAGCAACTTACCAGTGTCATCATAGGTTCAACAATCTCACTAGATTCAATCTTAGAGTCCTTATTGTTAGGATTTTGGCTCGTCAAATATGTCCTAGTTGGTTTAGGATTGCTTTAGGAAAATTAGAGGTATTCTTGTCTTAGAGGGATTAGGAAAGATTTTCAGTTTTCCTTATTCAATTCAGGTTTGGATTTCTAGAAGCCTATTTGGTTTTGGATAAGTGTAATTTCCTAATCCACTTAGGAATAGGACTTCAATCAGCCTTGGGACATGTAAGCCAACTCTATATCTATAAATAGGGTGTGGCAAGGCTTATTTTGAAGAGGGAGAAAACAGCCAGAGACAGCCAAGAGTTTTGAGATTAGTTCTAGGGTTTGCAAAAGTTCTGTAATCTCTATTATTAAGCAAAGGAGCGGTGATTTCTCTACCTAGAGAAATCACAACTGGACGTAGGCAAAAGTTCTGCCGAACCAGTATAATTCTTGTGTGTCTAAGTTTTCTAATATTTGCTAGTTTAGTCTATTGCCGTTGGTTACATTAAAGAACAAGATCCAGCAGCAAGTTATTTAACACTTATCGCTAGCTGGAAGTTCAGGCGCACAAACTTCTTCCTTAAACTCTCCTTGACCAGCAGCTTCTGCTTGATTCTCCATGGTATTGTCTTGAAAATTTTCTCCTTGTTTAGCACTTATCAAATCATCAGTGGATTGACGTTCTTGAGATTCCAGGTTCTTTGAACAAACATCGACCACGTCAAATTTATCCATAAAATGGTGACTGGATGCTTCTATTTTGTCAAGATGACGTTCAATGATTCTGAAATACTCATCAAAGACGGTGATCCGATATGACACCTAATTGAACAATCCGTTCGTAGACCATCTCGGGCCGGTCTGTCTTACTAGACTTAGTTGGAGGCGTACACTCAACATACAACATTGCAAACAAAAGAGAGTTGAAAATTTCGAGCCCAAGGAAAAATGAAAACTAGGCGTTGACACCAAATTTGATGTAAGATATGGATGAATTATATAGATTTAGGTAGAAAACAGAAAATTAAACTAGTAAGGAAAGCTGCTCCAGAATTTCAGGATTTGAAGACTGAATTAAATGAATGTTCTCATCACTAATCCCCTGAAATCTGGGAAGACTTGAATCTGTAAGTTTGGATGAGATATTTTCATTTCTAATGTCCGTTGACAAACATCTAAAACCAACTGCTTGACACATTTGTTTTTACATTGTATGATAGACATATCTAACGACCAATCAATTGACAAAATTTAAAACCAAATTGTCTGAGCATAGATAATGTGTAAGAATAAACAATTATACCTAATCATTTATAGTAAAAGATACAATTATGTTCGTGTCATTTTAATTTCAAGTGATTGAATTGGAAATTTGGCATGTAATATATAGCAAAACTATTTAGAACTTAGAAAAACATCCCATGTTAAAGTAGTAAACTTATGAATTGTTATATATATAAATTTTATAAAATTTTACACAAACACACACACACACACACACACACACAAAACCTTGTTCTTGAAGGAAGTTGCAGTTCCACCCCAAAGCCAATTGGCAATGAGGGAGTAGCCCAACTCCTTATGAGTCCACTCTAATATCATGAAGGAAGTTAAGGGTTCATCCCAAAACAAATTGGCCATGGGGGAAGTAGCCCAACTCCTTGTAAGCCCTTCCAGGGTTTGTTAGTTTTCCAATTTGGGATATTTTCACCTTCACATTCTCACAGTTCTTGTATCGTTTTTAGTGATGATATATGGTGGATAACTAACATGATAAGTGATGGTGATAATCTAATGAATGTATTTATGTATAGATCCAACTATGTCTAACCCTTCATTTAGTTCATTATATATTACAGAAGCCACTTAACATGTCATTAATGAATACTAAGAGATGAATCAAATGTTCGTTCAGATGTAAAATTAATAATTTCTTTTATTTTGTTAGGAAAAGAAAAGGGCAAGGTTCAGACATGCCTTTGTGATTAAATCTTTCAGAGTATGTGTGTGTCTTTTGATACTTGTACCCTATGGTTAGGCTGCATAGAAAGGGGTAGTGTCTAAATTGACATTGACACTTCTAGGCCTCAACCGAATCATTTTATTTATTTTTTAATGTTGACCGAATGTAGTTATTGTGGGGTTGAGAGTTCATGTATACATTGTGACATCCTTTATGTCAATGATTGTTTATTAGTTTATAATGTTTGTTTAAGCTTAATGGCTCCAATTCCAGGTACTCATCTATGTAGCATCTTTGGTAGAGATGACCAAAGAAGAACTCGCTGAAGTAATTTACCAAAATGCAGTACGCTTATTCTCTTACGATACCTGTGGCGGGCAATCATAAACTAAGTAGGAGCCTAAGTATCTCCACTCAAGTTCTTGTTTCAGATATGGAAAGGATGTATGGATTTTTGTGACGGGCTATAGTAACAAAATCATGGTCGGAGATAGTGAGAGAGAAGGTGGTGATGGTGGAGTATTTGCTCCTTTATTTTACCGGCCATGGCCATGTGATTGAAGAGGTCCCTTGTTACAAAATGAGAAATACCTTGTAATTTTATGCAAAAAATTGAGTAGCTGCTGAATCTTTATGTTGGTAACCAACCCTAGCTCACGGTACAAACTGGAATTGTTGAACTGGTTTAGTTTGTTTCACTTATTTATTAGCGGATCTTTTGTGTCCCTTTGAATCATTAATATCTAATTTGAATTCTCATATTTCTTCCCCATCAAATTGACAACTCCAAGCCTTTGCCTTAACTAGCCCTAACTCACGGTATAGACTGGTATTATTGAATCGGTTCAGTTTTTTTCATTTATGTTTTAGAAGATCTTTTGTGTCCCTTTTAATCCTCTATTTCGAATTTGAATTATCATATTTTCCACATCAAATGGACCACTCCTAGCCTTTTCCTTAGCCAACCCTAACTCATGATACAGACTGGTATCGTTGAATCAGTTGAGTTTGTTTCATTTATGTTTTAGCGGATCTTTTGTGTGCCTTTGAATCCTCAATCTCTAATTTGAATTCTCATATTTTTTTTCCCTTCAAATTGACCATTCCTAACCTTTGCCTTAGCCAACCTTAGCTCACGGTACATACTGGTATTGTTGAAACGGTTCTATTTTTTTCATTTATGTTTTAGTGGATCATTTGTGTCCATTTTAATCCTCTATCTCTAATTCAAATTCTCTTATTTTTCCGATCAAATGGACCACTCCTAGCCTTTGCCTCAACCAACCCTAGCTCACGGTACAGACTTCTATTGTTGAACCAGTTCAGTTTGTTTCAGTTATGTTTTAGAAGATCTTTTGTGCCCCTTTGAATCCTCAATCTCTAATTTGTTTTTTTTCATTTATGCTTTAGAAGATCTTTTGTGTCTCATTTAATCCTTAATCTCTAATTTGAATTCTCATATTTTTTTCCTTCAAATTGAACACTCCTAGTCTTTGGCTCAGCTAACCTTAACTCACAATACTGATTGGTATTGTTGAACATGTTCAATTTTTTTCATTTATGTTTTAACAAATATTTTGTGTACCTTTTAATCCTCAATCTCTAATTTGAATTCTTATTTTTTTTTCCAGTCAAATTGACCATTTTCTAGCCTTTGCCTTAGCCAACCCTAGCTCACGATACATACTGGTATTGTTGAAACGGTTCTAGTTTTTTCATTTATGTTTTAACGGATCATTTGTGTCCATTTTAATCCTTTATCTCTAATTCAAATTCTCATATTTTTTCCGATCAAACGGACCACTCCTAGCCTGTCACACCCCGGATCGACTCCACTGTAGCACGATATTATCCGTTTTGGGCCCCCCCTCTCTGCCCTCACGGTTTTGTTTCTGGGAACCCAAGAGCAACTTCCCAGTGAGTCACCAATCCTGGGATTGTTCTAGCCCCAACTCGCTTAACTTCAGAGTTTCCATGACTTCAAAGCCAGCGAGCTCCCAAAAGGCCTCATGCTAGATGGAGGCGGGTATGTACATATAAGGCACACCACTCCCTCTCCGTTGGTCGATGTGGGATGTTACATAGCCTTTGCTTCAACCGACCCTAGCTCACGGTATGTACTTCTATTGTTGAACCGATTTAGTTTGTTTCATTTATGTTTCAGAAGATCTTTTGTGTCCCTTGAATCCTCAATCTCTAATTTGAATTCTCATATTTATTTCCCATCAAATAGACTACTCCTAGCTTTTGCCTCAGCCAACCCTAGCTCACGGTGCAGACCGGTATTGTTAAACAGGTTCAGTTTGTTTCATTTATGTTTTAGCAGATCTTTTGTTTCCCTTTTAATCCACTATCTCTAATTTTAATTCTCATATTTTTTTTTAACTTCGAATTGACCATTCCAAGCCTTTGCCTGAGCCAACCCATGCTCACAGTACAGACTGATATTGTTGAATCGATTTAGTTTGTTTCATTTATGTTTCAGAAGATATAGTGTCCCTTTGAATCCTTAATCTCTAATTTGAATTCTCATATTTTTTCCCCATCAAATTGACAACTCCTACCCTTTGCCTCAACTAGCCAGAGCTCACTTTACACACCGGTATTGTTGAACCGGTTCCTTTTTTTTCCTTTATGTTTTAGAAGATCTTTTGTGTCCTTTTTAATCCTTAATCTCTAATTTGAATTCTCATATTTTTTCCCTTAAAAATGAACACTCTTAGTCGTTGGCTTAGCCAACCCTAGCTCACGGTACATATTGGTATTGTTGAACATGCTCAGTTTTTTTTCATTTAAGTTTTAAAAGATCTTTTGTGTCCCTTTTAATTCTCAATCTCTAATTTGACTTCTCATTATTTTTTCCCATCAAATTGACCACTCCTAGCCTTTGCCTTAGCCAACCATAGCTCACGATACAGATGGTTTTGTTGAACTGGTTCTGTTTTTTCATTTATGTTTTAGTGGATATTTTGTGTCCCTTTTAATCCTCAATCTCTATTTTGAATTCTCATATTTTTTTCCCATCAAATGGCCACTTCTAGCCTTTGCCTTAGCCGACCCTAGCTCATGGTACAGACTGGTATTGTTGAACTGGTTCTATTTTTTTCATTAATGTTTTCGCGAATATTTTGCGTCCCTTCGAATCATCAAACTCTAATTTGAATTCTCATATATTTTTTTTTTCATCAAATGGACACTCTTAGCACTTGCCTCAGCTAACCCTAGTTAACGATACAGACTGATATTGTTGTACTAGTTCTATTTTTTCATTTATGTTTTCGCAAATCTTTTGTGCCCCTTTGAGTCCTCAAACTCTAATTTGAATTCTCATATTCTTTAAATCCACAAGGGCTTAGGGTTTAGGTTTGAATCCTCAGACTCAAATTTGAATTATCATATTTTTTTCCCTTCAAATGGACACTCCTAGCCCTGCCTCAGGCAACCCTAGCTAACGATATAGATTGTTATTATTGAACTAGTTCAGTTTTTTTTAATTTTTGTTTTCGCTGATCTTTTGTATCCCTTTGAATCCTCAAACTCTAATTTAAATTCTCATATTCTTTTCCAGTCAAATGGAGACTCCTAGCCCTTGCCCCAGCCAACCCTAGCAAACAATATAGACTGGTATTGTTGAACTGGTTCTGTTTTTTTCATTTATGTTTTTGAGGATATTTTGTGTCCCTTTGAATTCTCAAACTCTAATTTGAATTCTCATATTTTTCAATTTCAAATTGACCACTCCTAGCCTTTGTCTCAGCCAACCCTAGCTCATAATATAGACTCGTATTGTTGAACTGGTTTTGTTTTTTTCATTTATGTTTTCGCGGATCTTTTGTGTCCCTTTGAATCCTCAAACTCTAATTTGAATTCTCATATTTTTTTCTCATCAAATGGAGACTCCTAGCTCTTGCCTCAGCCAACCCTAGCAAACAATAAAGACTGGTACTGTTGAACAGGTTCTGTTTTTTTCATTTATGTTTTCGCGAATCTTTTGTGTCCCTTTGAATCCTCAAGGGCTTAGTGTTTAGGTTTGAATCCTCAAACTCTAATTTGAATTCTCATATTTTTTTCCCTTCAAATGGACACTCCTAGCCTTGCCTCAGGCAACCTTAGATAACAATATAGACTCTTATTGTTGAATTGGTTCTGTTTCTTTTAATTTTTTTTTTCGCGGATCTTTTGTGTCTCTTTGAATCCGCAAAGTCTAATTTAAATTCTAATATTCTTTTCCCAC